TACCATGTCTTTTGAATGCATCAAGAGTCCTCATTGAGCCAGTGACCTGTACCATCCAGTTTTGTGTAAGCATATGCTATGGTGTTCTACAATGACACTTTTTTTTTTTTGAATCAGGGGTTGAACTCAGGACACTTTGCCACTGAGCCACATCCCCAGCTCTATTATTTTTGTATTTTATTTAGAGACAGGGTCTCACTGAGTTGCTTAGCAACTTGCTTTCACTGATGCTGGCTTTGAACTCTCAATCCTCCTGCCTCAGCCTTCTGAGCCAGTGGGATTACTGGCTTACAATGAAACATTTAATGACACATCTAATGACACGTTTCTCAAATCATAAGTGATGCATGCATGCACACATATAAAATAAATGAGTTGCAGTATACAGACTATTTTCACTCTATAGTGAATAAATCATGCATGTCTTTTGTGCTGGTACATTTAGATCTTTGTAGCTATTATAGACCTACTCATTTTACAGAGAAGGGAATTGTAGTATGGGGAGATTTGATCACCCATATAAATACACATAGTCAGGAAGTAGAGCAATGGGATTAGAACCCAAACTTGGCCTGTGCCCTTTCATGATCATCCCAGAGCCTAAGAATTTTCAAGCAACCCTGGAGCTTCTCGGGAATCTTTTATTGTTTAAAATAACTGTTTGCAATGTTACAAGGAAAGTGCTAAATTAGGCACTGAGAGATGAAGTAACTAGCCTGAGGTCTTGCAGCAGCTTTTGTATTTGATGCTACCACATGCAGACATTAGGGGAGTCACTGTGGTGACTTCATTGGCCATTGTTGCTGTCAATATCAAGTTCCACCCAGCTAGGATGCCATGCCATGGTTGGCCTAGTCTTTTCCTGGTCAATAGGCTTTCTGGTTTTTTTCTACACAGTTATCAGAGTAAAGGTTTAAAACCGTCTCTGAACTTTCCAACCCATACATGATTTCCCTGCATAAATTTGGCTTTATTTTTGAAGGAGAGGTCAAAAAGGAAATAATTATTAGGCCTTTAGGTAGCTTTCTCTCCCTTTTGTGCCTCATCCCACAAAAGGTTGACACTGTCCCTGATGGAGAACAAGGAATTATACATACTGGTTAAGGTTATACAGCTGGAGAGTGTCCAGGGAGTTGTCACCACTTTTTGTCATCTAGTTGCATTCCGAGGCTGGGAGCAGTGTTAATGGAAGGATTTCTGATATCTTGCAGAAGATGGGCAGCGTCCTGAGTGGACTTTTTACCCGAGGTTTAGCAGCAATATCCACACCTATCATGTTGGAAAGCAGTGCTTCTTCAATGGGGTCTTCCTTCGCAATAAGAGGTCTGTGTCAGAGAGGACGGTGGATCAGAGCCTCGGGAGAAAGAAACATGGTAATGTTTTCCTCCTGGACCTTGACTCTGCAATGCCTGAGAAAGCTCTTGACTCATGGTTTTGCAGGTCAGCCTTTGGCAGGCTGGGGCAGCCCTGCAGGGTCACTATGTCACCCTGGTACACAGGAAGGTAGAAAAACAGAGAGGACAGTTGGCAGGTGACATGTTTTGGCAATGAACTCATGACATATGCTGATCCACATTTTTGTTTTGCTCTGAATTTCATAAAATGCTAATGTGACATTTAAGTCATCAGATAAGTTCTCTCAGATAGTTATTAATAGAAACCTCATTGAAGTCCGATTCAATTAGATGCTGCCTGTCACATGTGTTCAAAATGTTTTATGTTTTTCACAAGGAATTTATCCCATAAACCTTAGCCTGAAGTACATGTTGTTGTTTTGTAACTGTTTAATAAAAGAAACTAATATGAAAAAAGTTACACACACACACACACACACACACACACACACACACACACACAAAATCTCCTTGGCTTGTAATTTGGTGAGTTCTCTGCCCCTAGCTTACTCTTTGTGTTTTTTTTGGAGTGGTACTAAGGATTGAACTCAGGAGCACTTGGCCATAAGCCATAGCCATAGCCCTATTTTGTATTGTATTTAGAGACAGGGTCTCACTGAGTTACTTAGTGCCTCGCTTTTGCTGAGGCTGATATTGATTGAACTCAGGATCCTCCTGCCTTAGCCTCCCAAGCCACAGGGATTACAGGCATATGCCACTGGGCTGGGTTCCAGCTAACTCTTTTTTTAAAAAAAAAATTCATTTTTTAGTTGTAGTTGGGCACAATATCTTTATTTTATTTATTTATTTTTTATGTGGTGCTGAGGATCAAACCCAGGGCCTCTCATGTACTAGGTGAGTGCTCTACCGCTGAGCCCCAGCCCCAGCCCCACCATACTGTTAATGGACTTACTGAAAGGTCCTAAGGGGTTGCAAAGGACCAATGGGCCACTCGTGGCCTCTCTTTTTATAGAAATACCTGTGTAGGAGGAGGCAGCCAAAGTTTGGGGGATGAATAGGTTTACTGTAGTAGGAGTACAAACAGAAAGAAGTCAAAAGTTTTCAATTTTGATATTTAAAAGAGATTTTAAAGCTCATAGCAGAGACAAATATTATTGAAAATCAAGGCTTTTATTTATTTGATCAGAGAACACATGAAAATCCATACTAGATGAGCTAGAAGAGTGGTCACAGATTTAGGAGTCGTGGAGGAGCCTGGAACCCTGCCCAGCTCCTGTTCTGCATGTATATATCAAAAGGAAATGGGATTATCAATATGATCCAAATCATAACCCTAATATATCACTTCCCAACTACCTCCAAAGTGGGCATTATCCTTGGATGTGCTTGGATATTTGCATATCCTTAATACCTGTACTTCTCACACCATTAAAGAAATAGAATATTGTTTTTATATTTGAAGCCTCTGGTATGCCTCTTCTAGAATATTGCACATCTCTCTCTCACTCCAGAGGTAATGCCAATTTTACATTTATTAAAAAGAAAAAAATATTCTATAAATCTTCAAATATGCTAAAGTAGAGAAATATCATGTTGAAACCTGATGCCCTCACCCCCCTTATGTCAATTATTGTCAATACGAGGCTAATTTTTTCATCTTTACCCTCCCCTTAGGGATTATTTTATTTAATTAATTTTTTACAGGTATAATTTTTATTGGTGCATTATGATTATACATAATAGCGCAATTCATTATGACATATTTGTATAGGCACATAATATAATTTGATCAATCTCATTCCCTAGTATCTTCCTTTTCCCTCTCTTCTTCCTTCCCCAATCCACTTGCTTTACTCTTTAAGGATTATTTTAAAGCAAATTACAGATAATATAATTTTATCTGTAAATATATCATATAGAAAAAGATTGTTTCTATTAATATAACCACAATACCATAACACATTATCATCTTTAAGAAATGAACAGTCATTTCTTAACTTCATCAAATATTCAGTGTGAAAATATCCAGTTGTCTCATAAATCTCATAATTTAAAAAAATTAATTAGTTTGAATCAGGATTCAAATGAGGCCCACACATTGAAATTAGTTGGATGTCTTTTAAATCTCTTTTAATGTATAGATTCTCTTCCACTTTTTATGTGCAGTTTATTTGGTGAAGAAACAAACTTGTCCATAATTAGGATTTTGCTGATTATTTTATTAAACAGTACTGTTTAATATTTTCCTTAGTACTGTTTAATATTTTCCCCTTCCCTGTGTATTTTTCTATACCCTGGTTATTGGAGCTACAGGCTTGATTTGTTTTAGCATGATACTTAGGTGATATTGTATAATGACTTCTTTATTTTTATTTTTATTTTTTGATACTGGGGATTGAACCCAGCACCTCATGTATGTTACTAGGTAAGTACTCCTTAACCAAACTACATCCCCAGCGCTTTTAGTTTATTTTGAGACAGGTTCTCCCTAAGTTTCCCAGAGTAAACTTGAACTTGTGGTCCTCCTGCTTCAGCCTCCAGAGTAGCTGGGATTACATGCCTGTACAATGACTTCTCTTCATATTAAATGCAATGATCTTTTTCCATTTCTTCTCTTCTTGATCTCCTTGCAGCATTTGATACTGTTAAGCTTGACACTGGTCACTACTTCCTTTGTAGAATTCTCTCTACCCTTATTATTTCTCAGACAAGCAAGAAATGAAGGAGCATGATCAGGAACTGCCAGCCAGTTGCCATTTTGAAATGCAGTGCATCACATTTATTACAGAGAAAAATAAGTCAAAATATATTTAAATAATGGTTGTCTCTAGTTCATCAGTTACGATCAGACTAGTGGTGGAGTTCTCTAAAGGCCTAATTGTTGCCACAGAAAAAAGAACAAAATGGTTATAGATATACATTTAGGGAAATAGGCCTGAAAGTAAATGTTTTTTTCTATTGGATAGCTCTTCCTACAGGAAAGTATATTATGCAAGTCAGAGTAGGATGTTTTCTGCTGCAGTAACAATCAATCCCTGAAATCTCTGAAATCCTGAAATATTAGAAGCTTAATCATTAAAGTTGCTTTATTTTCTTGTAAAGTTTGCTATGAATCCAGTAGCCTTTCCTTTTTCCACTTGCTAATATTATCCTGTGAGATCTTTTACAATAGTTCATTTCTACATATTGTCTTCAGACCACTTGCACCATAATCAGCTAGAGAGTTTGCAAAATAAATAGACAATATTAAAAATAAAATAAAATACATTTAAAAATCCTAGTTTTGGAAACCTCTCCAGATCTTCTGAAACACAGTTTCTTGTGTTGGAATCAGTAATCTGCATTTTTTTTTTTTATTGGTTGTTCAAAACATTACAGAGCTCAAGACATATCATCTTTCATACATTCGACTCAATTGGGTTTTGAACTCCCCAAATACATAATACAGACTCACTTCTGTTACATACTCACATTTTTACATAATGGCATATTAGTGACTGTTG